GAAGCCATCCTTGGTTATGGTATCAAAAGTAACTGAACTTCCAGTAGTTTCTATTCAGTACACTATTGTAGTGTCTCCATAGTACATCTCACTGCCAGAAATGAAGAAGTATTTGGACAATTGGCACCTCTAATACGGTGCTGTGAACTCTGGACTCATTCTCAAAATAACTTCTGAATGCCTAAAATGTACCAATTGTATCAAAAATGCAATTACCAAAATATTTTCAAATTATGTTTTAGTAACCCATACACTTCTCTGTTAAGACCTGAAATAACAGTATCTATTTGCAGGCTTCATAATTATCAGAATATAGAAGCTATAACAGATGTAGATGCTATTTTGACAGATGTGCAACCACTGGACTAGGAAAGGAAAATATGAGTGATTCCTACTGGATAGAAAAGTCACAGGTGCTGCAAACAACACTATAGATTATTGCCTTCGTTTTTTTCTTTCCTGTTTTTTTTTTTTTTTTTTTTGTTTTTTTAGAAAGGGGTTTTTTTTGGGTCATAAATAGGCATTCAGTGATATGACTCATATTCTGCTTTTCTAACATATTATTCATATCACAATACTTCAAGGTAATTATTGCCTTGGTTTCTAACTGAGGAAACTGCCAAAGTGCAGTTAGAGATGTATTTTGTTCCTGTCCAAGTTTGGGGATTCTCTAAATTCTATTTATAAGCTTATTGGAGGTCTGTGGACTCCATTAGGATTGTATGAATAGGGCTGGAGAGGTTGTTCAGCAGTTAAGAGCATCGGTTGTTCTTGCAGAGGACCCAGGTTCAATTCCCAGCATCCACATGGGGCTTTACAACTATCTCTAACTTCAGTCCCAGGGGATCTATCACACTCTCTGGCCTACGTGGACTCAAGACACGCATGTGGGGCATAGACATATATGCAGGCAAAACACCTATACACGTTAGAAAAGAAGAATTGTGTGGTTGCTCCATTAAAGTCTTGAACTTGTTGCCTTAAAAGGGGAAAGATTAATTGGAGTGATGAGGAAGGATAGAGTCTGCCAGGGAAGAAAGTGCTAGAAGAAAGCTATCTTCTACAGCCCTCCATGGCACTAGGGTGTGGGTCATCTAGAAACGTACTCTTGGGAGGGGCATGAGAAAAGCAGTGCCTTGAAGAAAAAAGGAAACAGTTGGCAATGCAGCTGCATACTGAAGTGAGGGATTTCTTTGCCCTAGAATGGAGTTCAGTAAGGAAAGCAGCATGTGGAGAAGAGATGACCACTGTGGGAAGATCAGCCATGGGGGCAGGGGTGAAAGAACTCAGAGCAGTAGGCAGAATCCTTGCTGTATGCCAGACAGCAGGCCAGACGCTGATGATACAAAGCTGACTGACACAAAGATGAGTCACCCATCTTTCAGATCCCTTGAAACCCAAATCCTGGTGCCTGATTGGCTGGTTTGGCTGGTCTGATCTCTGTACCTCTTCAGAGACTCTGAGAGCCAGGGGCAGTGGGAATAAGATGAACACAGCGTTTCAGTGGTTCAAGAGGAAGGAAGCTAAGAAAAATCTGCTCTCTGTCTCCTCCACCCCTTTGTGTGAAACAAAAACTAAAAAAAAAAAGAAGTTATGTAATAGAGGAAAGCAAACCCTTGCCCTGGTCATATAATTCAAAGCAGCTACCCATCTAAAAATTAGCTATGTCTGAGGGATGTGTCCTCTATTCTCACTATGAATTCTTCAGGAACCTTCTATGACTCTTTGCTGCCAAGGGATCATTTGTGTTTCAAGACAGTCTTGGCTGGGTGGGGGGAGGGAGGATCAAAGGAAGAAAGAAAGAGCAATGTTTTTAGATTTTTTTCTTTGGGGTGCCAGAGATACCCTGCACCTGGGTCTCTTCCTGAATGCAGCTTTCAGGATGCAGGGTTCTGTGATTCTTTTTTTAAATGCTGCTTTCCTCCCCTTTCCTAGGGGAGCTCTTTCACAAAGGCTCAGGTTGGGAGCTGCTGCAGGTGGGAGGTGTTGCATGGGCTCATACCTTCCTTTGATCGTGTTCTCTTCTAGTGGTGGGATCTGAAAACTCCCTGCCCTGGGCTGAGGTAATGAGCCTCTTCTTCCCTGAAGGGAGGAAGCATCTCCAGTGGAGAGGCAGCATGCAAACCAAGGAGAGAATGAGAGGCGGAGAGCTGAAACTGAGATGACCTAGTTAGAGCAGAAAGATGATGATGTGGTCAAGGGGTGACGCAGAGGCAGGTGAGGTGGTGCAGCGGGTAAAGATGCTGATGACCCGAGTTCCTCCATCCCTGAATCTCTCGGGGTGAAAGGAGAGAACTGACTCACACAAACTGTCCTCTGACTTCCACACTTATAGCACACACCTACATACGTACACAATAAATAAGTGCTTTTAAGAAAAAGAAAGATTACCCTTATCCAGCCTGAAAGAAAAAAAAAAGGAAAAAAATGTTAAGGCAGTTGGGGTGGCTCTAGTGTAGACAGGGCTAGGAAGAAAGAAGTTTCCAGCAAGGCGCAGGACAGGGAGGAAGAGTAGACTGACTATTCTTTTTTGAAGGTTTAAAAAGTAACATATATTAATTATGCATGATAATGAGTTTCATCGTGAGTCTTTTGTGCATGTAGATAGTGTGTTTTTTATTATATTCACTCCCCATTACCTTCTCTTCTTCCTCTCCTACTGATCTCCTTTCTCTTCCCAAGTAGCCCTCTTTTATATTTGTAATAGAGCTATTTTAGCAATTACATTTGCATTCATTTGTATGTCTGTGTGTACATGTGCTCACATGCTTGTGCACGTGTGTATGCATATTACAATGAATGTATAAAGGTCAGAGGGCAACCACAAGAGCTAGTCTTTATCATGTGCGCTCTGAGAATCAAAGTCCGGTCTTCAGGCTTGAAGGCAGGTGTTTTTAACCACTGAGAAATCTCCCCAGCTCCATTTTCTAGTTGTATACCTTTGGGTGTATGAGTTACTTATAGGAGCATAGATAAAGGATTAGTTACAGAAGCATGGGCAACTCACCAGTGGCTACAGTACTGAAGAAAATATCTTTCTCTACCTTAGCAACTACTATATACCTTCAGCTCACTTATGTTTAGGAGGCCTTGCTGAATCAGCTGTGGTGGTACACATATGTAATTCTAGTACTCAGGAAACAGAGGTAGAAGGTTCATGAGTTTAAGGCCAGCCTGAGCTACAGGAATTCCACACCAGCTTAGGCTATTGTCTTAGTCGGGGTTTCTATGTGAAGAGACACCATGACAATGCCTACTCTTTATGATGATGATGATGATGAGGAGGAGGAGGAGGAGGAGGAGGAGGAGGAGGATTGCGTATACAGTGTTCTGTCTGCATGTGTCCCTGCAGGCCAGAAGAGGGCACCAGATCTCATTACAGATGGTTGTGAGCCACCATGTGGTTGCTGGGAATTGAACTCAGGACCTCTGGAAGAACAGCCAGTGTTCTTAACCACTGAGCCATCTCTCCAGCCCCATAATGCCAACACTTATAAAGGAAAACATTTAGTTGTGGTGGTTCGATTACTGTTCAGAGGTTTAGTCCGTTATCATCATGGTGGGACACGGCAGCATGCAGGCAGACCTGGTGCTAGAGAAGGAGCTGAGAGTTCACACATCTTAACTCACAGGCTATACAGAAAGTGGTCTGGCCTACTGGCTGTGGCTTGAGTGTATATGAGACCTCAAAGCCCACCTCCATAGTAACACACTTATTCCAACAAGGCTACGCCTACTCCAACAAAGCCATAGTGTCACTCCCTTTGGGAGACATTTTCTTTCAAACCACTACAGCTTTGTAGTAAGACATTGTCTCAAAAAATAAACAAATAGAGTTGTGCATGGTGGCATATCCCTTTAGTCCCAGCACTGGGGAGGCAGAGACAGGCGGATTTCTGTGAGTTTGAGGCCAGCCTGGTCTACATAGCATGTTCCAGACCAACCAAGGCTATAAGGAGACCCTGTTTGAAAACTAACCAACCAACCAACCAACCAACCAACAAATAAGTGTCTTGTTGAGTCAAGGAGGCTGCCTAGGGGAGCTTTCCATGTATTTTCAGTGAACTGGGGTTCCTGTGTAGAAGCTGGAGGAAGTAGATTTATAAAATTTTGTCTGGGTGCTTAAATGAGAAGTGGAAAAATATGTGGCTGTCAAGGTTGTTAATTGGGATGTTTCACTCATTGCTGCAAGAATGACTAAAGGCCAGGCGTTGGTGGTGGCACATGCTTTTAATCCCAGCACTCGGGAGGCAGAGGCAGGTGGATCTCTGTGAGTTCGAGGCTATCCTGGTCTACAAGAGCTAGTTCCAGGACATCCTCCAAAGCCACAGAGAAACCCTGTCTGGAAAAACCAAAAAAACAAAAAACAAAAACAAAAAACTAAAGATCCCACAGCACTGTGACAAAATCCCCCAGCCTGGGTCATAAAAAGGTCATGTATCCATAGCTTCAGTACAAAGACAGGGTGTGGCAGGGAGATATACGAAGCAACTCATGGGCTTAGATTGAGGGCCCAACTACATATCCCATCAGTGGATTCCACATTGCCTGCTGGGAGATAGACAAGTTCCCTTCACAGGTCCTCTCCTTCAGGAAGACACAGTGAATCTCAGAAAATATTGATTCCCGTAAAGCAGCAGCAAACAATCCAATGCCCTGTGTAGGTTTTTACCCTGCTGGGCCACAGAAGAGATTTGGGGCATAAGTAGAGGAAGAAGGCCATAGGAAGGAGGCAATGAACTGAGCCCTGAGGTGTGCGGAGGCAGGATGCGATGAGGAAAGATTGATGGGCGTTCCACAGTGAAGAAATAAATTGGGCTCATGTGTGGACCAAGAAGGCAGCTAAAGGTATCAGTGTAAGAGCCCACTGAGAAGACATGGAGAAGCCCAAGTAGATGTGGGAGGTCCAATTACAGAGGACACTTTGCATTTCCAAGTGGGACTGACTATGTCAAAATCCAAGCAAGCACATGATGCCATTTCTCTCCTCTCCTCTCTAGCTATAAACCCATCGTGGAATTCATAGATGCTCAGTTTGAGGCCTATCTGCAGGAGGAGCTGAAGATCCGGAGAGTACTGCACACCTACCACGACTCCCGAATCCATGTCTGCTTGTACTTCATTGCCCCCACAGGACATTCACTTAAGTCTCTGGACCTAGTAACCATGAAGAAGCTCGACAGTAAGGTATGAGGCAGGAGCTGGGGCTGAGCAACCTGGACTCTTCCTGATGTAATGTACATGGGATGCTGGATGCCAGCAGAGGTTTTGTGGCATCTTAATCCAACCCTTTGTTCCCCTCCCCCATAAGGGTGATGTTACACATCCTGCATTATGTCATATGCTTTGCCATCTGGGTTCCTACTATTAGGATGAATTTGTCCTAAGTGTCTTGGAAATAAGAATGAATGTAAGGAAGGTAGCTGTTTACGTCTAAGGGTGTTGGTTTTGGCGCTGGCAAAGTATCATTGTTTCCTTTACATGAGTTTTAGATTTTTAATCTTATGTTTTCGAGTACTTCATCTGCATATATGTTTATCTGTACACCACTTGCATGCCTGGTGCTGAAGGAGTTCAAAAGAGGATGTCGGACTCCCTGGAACTGGAGTTGAGGATGGTTGTGAGCTACCACATGGGTGCTGCAAACCGAACGTAGGTCTTCTGCAAGATCAAGGAGTGCTCTTAACTGCTGAACCAGCCCTACAACCATGGGCAAGGCTCTAGATTCAATTCCTAGCACCATAAAAACAAAACAAATTCAACATTGGCTTCTTTAAAAAGTCTAATTACTGGGATTTTTCTTCCTTAACATTCGTCATATACCAGGCACTATGTACTTACATATGTTATTTCATCATTTTTTCTTTTCCATTTGTATATGTCTGCATGTTGGTTGTGTGTGTATGCATGTTTGCATGTGTGTATACACTTGTATGTATGTGCATGTGCACATGGGTGCTATATGGAGACTGAAGGCTAATGTCAGAATCTTCCTCCATCATTGATCTTCCACGTTATTCATTGAGGCAGAATCTCTCAGCCAAATCAGAATCCAAGTATATGGTTTCCTCTTGCTAAATAGCTAGATTGCTCCGGGAATTTCCTGTCTCTGCCTTCTGAGACTTAATTATGTATGGGCAGGCTGCATGTTTGTAGGTGCTGGGTATCTGAACTCTGGTCCTCATGCTTATGCAGCAAGAGCTCAGCCACTGGGCCCTGTTTTGTTTGTTTGTTTTTGTTTTTAACAAAAGGTGTTGCATTGCAATTTATTCATTTATTTTATTTTATTTGGTTTTTCGAGACAGGGTTTCTCTGTGTAGCTTTGGAGCCTAACTTGGCACTCTCTCTGGAGACCAGGCTGGCCTCGAACTCACAGAGATCCGCCTGCCTCTGCCTCCCGAGTGCTGGGATTAAAGGCGTGCGCCACCAACGCCCAGCTAATTTATTTTTAATCAATTTTTTTCATACAATATTTTCTGATCATGCTTTTCCCCTTCCTCAACTCCTCCCAGATCCTCCTCACCTTTCTACCCACTCAGCTCTGTGTCCTCTCTCTATATATATGTGTGTGTGTGTGTGTGTGTATCGTTAAAAATAAAAACAACCCCCTCAAAACACATACAGAAACTTCATGAAAACAGAATCCAAATATATAAGACCAATAAGACAAAAAAATAAACAAAGAAAGCAGTATGAGACAAAAAGTCTACAAAAACAGCTCTGAGTACACTGTGTGTTGATCATCTCTTGCTGTGCATGGGGTGTATCCTGAAGTTAATCCACTCAGTGAGACTCAATTAGGAAAAACCAATTTTTCCTTTGCAAGTAGGTATCAATTGCAGATAGCTTCTTGGTTAGAGACGGAGCCTGGGTTTACTTCCCCTCTCTCAGCCATGGGATCCTGTATGGCTTGAACCTGTGCATGCTGCTACAGCCTGTGACTTAATACGTACGTCAGTCCCATTGTCTGGAAGACACTGTTTTCTTGGAGTCATCCATCACCTATGGCTCTTACAGTCTTTCTACTTCCTCTTCCAAGTAGATCCCTGAGCTCTGAGGGGAGGCGTTTGGTGAAGACATCCCATTTAGGACTGAGTGCTCCAAAGTCTCACTTTCTGCATTGTCCAGTTGTGGGTCTCTGTGTTAGTTCCCATCTACTGCAAGAAGCTTCTCTGATGATGACTGAGCAAGGCCCTGATCTATGGGTATAGCATAATCTTGTCAGGAGTCATTTTATTGCAGTGTTCTTTTAGCAGAACTATAGTATTTTTTTCCCTAGGCCCATGACCTATCCAGCCAGTCTCAGATCTAGCAGTGTCAGGCATGAGTTCCAGCTCATGGAGCGGGCCTTAAATACAATCAGATAGTGGTTGGTTACCTCCGAAGCATTTGTGCCGCTATTGCAGCAGCATATCACATAGACAGGTGACTACGGTAGTTTGCAGGGTTTGTAGCTGGGTGGGTGGCTGCCTTTCTCCTTTGGTAGTGTGCAAAGTACATTCCAGTACCATGAACACTAGTCAGTAGGTGTAAAGGCTCTAGTTAGGCACCAGCTCAGCATCTCTGTGTTTGATGAGATATGTAAGTATTGTCTTCAGCAATAAGGACTGGACCCTGTTTTGTCTTAATCATCTAGTGTATTTAGGCACTGTTAGTTACATTTTACATATGAGGTCAGTGAAGCACAGAGAGGCAAGTAGCTTGCTCAAGGTCAGACAACTTGTAAAGGAGTTAAGATTTGCCTCCAGCTCTAACTGCAAGTTATTTTAGTATACAGAATTTTAATTTACATGTAGTCATTTGGTAGCATGGCCACTATAACAACTGAATGTCAGCTATAATCAGAATAAAAACAGTTTTCCCATTTTTGCAACAATGAGCTCACTGCTCATGAATAATAGCCTGCTTCTGAAATGCCTTCATGCCCAGCATGGCCCTGTACAGGGGCATCAGTAAGCCATGTGGCAGGCAGTCTGTGGGGTGGGCTGCATTAAGTAAGTAGTTTTGGCTTATGTTTATTGTGGACTAATGAGAACTTGGCAAACAAATGAAAAGGAGACTTGGATTTGCCTGCTGTTCCATCTTGGCAAAGATTCTGATATCTTGACCTCAAAGACTTCAGGAGCAATAACTACAAGGTCTGGTCTTTGCCCAGCATCCCAAGCTATGTATTTAGGGGACTTTGAAAGTACAAAAGAGCTCCCACACTCTCCTTTCAGGGTCCAGGGCCTGAACACCATTCATGCTGCCCCAATGGGGTCTGTAAACAGAACAACTCCATTTTCTATAGGAACGTGAGCTTTTAGTGTGCTCTGTCTCCCAAAGCCACGCACATGTCAGATTTCTTTATCTTTGACAATAAAAGCTTTCCCTTTTTTTCTGGGGGGATTTCAAGGATCAGGGTTTGGGTGAGTTGAACTATCATCCTAGTAACTGAGCTGTATCCCAGCCCAGCCCCAGTCTAACATTTCTGCATATGTTTCATGTCAAATTAGCACTACTGGGTCCTCTGTGCCTAACTGGCTACTGCGTGAGAGCCACATGGTCATCCTCATCAAGTTCTGTCCTTGCTTCCTTTTCCTCGCCTCCCATGTGGATCTGGCTGGTGCAAGCCCAGGTTGGACAGGTTGGGACAACTTACTGTTACCAATGAATGTCCACTTGTCACCTTGTCAACCAGAGATTCTCTGGCATTTTTATTTTTCTTTGAGTCACCCCAGCAGTGACCTTCATTCCTAGGTATCACGAAGCTCACCAACTTAGATCTGAAACTCATAGTTGCTACTAGCTTTGGGAATGAGGCTGACTTTGATTTGAATTTCGGTTCTGCTCCTTATCTACCCTGTGACCTTGGGCAAGTTATTTAACCTCTGTGTGCTTCAGTTTCATATTGGTAAAACACTAGCAACAGCACCTTCTGGGAAAGTTATTGTTAGGGTTAATTTTGCCAAGTCATTCATAGGGAACTTAGCTCAGTAGCCAACACATAGTAAGTAATCCTTATTGTTTAGTATGTTGTTATTTGGCTAAGGAGGGCAGTGCTAGACCTATTTGCTGACCCATCTATCCTCTGGGAGCTGGTGGGAGACCTAGGTCCGGTAGTTGTCAGTTGCTACTTAACAACAGTTGATCTCGCTTTGTTTCTCCTTTTCCTAGGTGAATATCATCCCCATCATTGCCAAATCAGATGCCATTTCTAAGAGTGAGCTGACAAAGTTCAAGATCAAAATCACCAGTGAACTTGTGAGCAATGGAGTCCAGATCTATCAGTTCCCCACCGATGATGAGTCAGTGGCCGAGATCAATGGAACCATGAACGTGAGTGGAAGCATGGCATTCAGCACTCTAGACATGCATTCTTGGCAAGTAGCAGTCAAGTAGCGTCATCAACCATCTTAGTGTGGTAACTCTCGATTGCCCGAGTCACAGGTATTGGTGACAGAGGATCCAGAACCTGAATAATTGACCCAAGGCTGACTGTGGAGTGGGAATTCTAGCCTCTCCTTCACTCTCCCTCCTCCTCCTCATTTTTGGTTCATGTATATGTTCATTTGTGTGTACAGGTATATGTTCATGTGTGTAGAGACCGGAAGTTGACATCCCATGTTTCCCTCAATCACTCTCCACTGTATCTACTGTGGTAGGGTCACTTGCTGAAACCAGAGCCCTCCATACCTCCTAATCCAGCAGGCCAGCTAGCCCTGGGGATCTTCCCCCATCTCTGCCTTCTAAGTACTAGGATCACAGGTAGCTACTGTGCCCGGCCAACTTTTGTGTGAATAACAAGGATTTGAACTCAAATCCTCAAGATTACCAGGCAAGTACTTATCAACTGTGCCATCCCCCAGCCCCCAAACTGCCTTCTTTAATACCCCTCAGATCTAGGCCAGGTAACCTTCCAGACTGGACTGCAAGAAAGGTAAACTATGTTTGTCTCTGACCCCGACAATGCTGGGACAGTGGGCACAGTAAAAGACGTAAAGGTTGAAAAAATTGGTTGGCCTCAGAGGCACAGGGATGGACTGTTGCCCAAGAACTGAACCCTGTCGTCATGAACTGAACAATAAGGAATAGCCACTATGATTTTTTAAAAAGATTTAATTTAATTTAATTTTATGTGTGTGGGGTTGTTTTGCCTGTATGTATGTAAGTGTACCATGTATGTGCAGTCTGCACAGAAGCCAGAAGAGGTCATTGGCTCACCTGGGACTGGAGTTACAGATGGTTGACAGCTTCCTTTTGGGTGCCCAGAATCAAACCCAGATCCTCTACAAGAGCATCCAGTGTTCTTAACCACTGAGCCATTTCTCCAGCCCCAGTGATGTTTTTTTTTTTCTTTTCTTTTTTTTCTTTCTTTTTTTTTTTTTTTTTTTTTTTTTTGCACTCGCTCTGGAGACCAGGCTGGCTTCGAACTCACAGAGATTCACCTGCCTCTGCCTCCTGAGTGCTGGGATTAAAGGCGTGCGCCACCACCCGGCATTTTTTTTCTTTTTTTCCTTTTTTCTTTCTTTCTGTCTTTCTTTTTTTCTTTCTTTTTTTGCAGTGATGTTATTTTTAAGCAGCAGGGTTATGCTTTGCCTTATTAAGTGTGAATGAATTTACAAAAACAGCCCTCTTTTCCCTCCTCCTCCACCTCCCCCTACTAGAGGAATGAGTAATAGCAAAGGCTGAGAGTCAAACACTCCCCGCTCTTCTTTACAATGTGTTGATGCTGTTGCTGTGAAAGCTTCTATGTTGTGATTTCTAGGAGACAGCTAATAGCTTTCAGCAAGCCTCTGCTTCAGGAACAGATTTCTTTTTCTCTATTGAGAGGCATCAGTTTTTCCTAATGACATAATGTCAGGGGACAGCCAAACTCAGGAAAGCCTTGCAATAAAAGCCATTTTTAGCAAACTTTTCCTGCTGCTTGTGCCCTCTAAGTTATCATTACAGCATCAGCTGCCACCTCCTGTGAATTGGCCAAAAAATTAGCATAGCCAGGCAGTAAGTCACTGTCTCGCCTGATGGCCTGCCCATCAGAACGGTCCACCCCAGACAGATTTGTTAGTAGAAGCCCTTCATCAGCCTTGACAAGTTTGGCTTAAGTCTGTGTGCCATGTGTTAGAGTTGTGTTCTTTGGGACCTGCTGTGGGTATGAACAAAAATTTAAAAAAAAACAACAATAAAATAATGCTTTCCTAGACAGGAATTAGGGCATTTTGATGGAAATGAGGGTCTGTTATGACGAGAAAACCAGAAAAGGTGCCCAGTCTGTAGCAAAACAGGAAGTGCCTTCTGGGTGTTGCTTGCACTGATGTCTGGAAGCATCTAGTCACCTCAGGGACCTGAGTCCCCGTAGATAGCTTCCAGACTCATTCTCTGAGTCATCAAGCAGTGGTCAGCCTCATAGTTTGCTTTGCTACAAACAAATAGGAAATAGGTTTTCAGCAATACGAAGGCGTCCCACCAAACTATGTCACTGCATTCTGGGTTAGGAGTGACAATCACCCTTTCTCTGTTCTCAGCTCAAGTCTGGCCTTCTGCACAGCTTAGGGCAGATTCAACCTCAGAGTTGGAAACTTGCCATTGCTATGAAACAGTAGTTCTCAACCATGCTGTAAAGAGATTGTCGGCCCCATGGTATACATGGGTCCATGGTTTGTCCCTGCTTCACTTTGAACAACTAAATCAAAAACTAGTTGTGGTAATACATGCGTGTGATCCCAGCTCTGAGACAGGAGGATCACATATTTGATTCTGGCCTGGGCTACATATAGCCATCCCTCGCCTCCAAAAGAAAAGCAAGCTAAATTTGATAGGTTCAGGGTCATTCATCTAAGTAGCATTGCTCAGTGTTCACTGCCTGGCATTCCATTATGATCTTTTGAATGGGAAGGGAAGAGAAGCAGCTAGGATGCCTGGGCTTGGACATGTCTGTGCAAGGGGCCTGTATCGAAAGCCTCTGTGTTCCAGAAACAGGAGGCAGGAGTTACTGCTATAATAAACACAGAAGTGCTTTGCTCACCTGCCAAACCTACAACTGTGTCAAAGCCTCCAGAGAAACCATGGTATATGCAGTGGTATCAACAGAGATGTGAAGGGGTGCCTGGATCCTTATCAGTACTAGGTGCTGGCCTTTCCATCCTAGATATGGTTCCAGATGCCCAGCCTCTGCCCACTGCACAGCCCGTTGTCATGGGAGATAGAAGAGGCCGAAGGTTTTTACCTAGTTAGAGAAGACTGTGCAACTGTCCTGTTATTCCAAAATAAGAGATATTCATGGCAAGCATGCCCAGCCTCACCCTTGGCTTTTGGGTGGCTCTAGAAAACCTTATTTCAGATTGTGGGGGCAGGAGATGGGGGAGTTGAGGGAGAGGGAGAGAGTTTGCTACCTGGTATTTTCAACCCATGCTGGGATTGCTCTCAAAGCTATAGGCTTTAAATCTCAAAATTGTCACATTGTTTAAATTAATTCATTATTTGGAGACAGGGTCTCACAAGATAGCCCAGGATTACCTTAAATTTGTCACCTCCTTCCTCAGCATCCTAATTGCTGC